TGGTCGGGGTCCCCCCTGTTATGTTCGGTCTTCTCTTCGTCCACACACGCGTGCGCAAGGCGCTTGATCGCGTCCCGTTCGAAGCCCTTTCCACGGTGATGTCACTTTGCACGCGGCAAAGTGTGTGTGTGTGTGTGTGTGTGTGTTGCTTGCCCCTTCATCCATCTTTGACAGCACTTCCATCACGCCTCGATGCACCTTGTGCAATTTGCGCTTGCGCGTCCCGCAGACATGTGTGGATCCAATGGTCTTGCGAACTGGTGGCAAAGGGATAAGGCGCGCGTCTATCTTGCGCGTGCGTGTTGGTTTTCTGGGTGGTGTGCACTGGTTTGGAGGCGTTTTTTGGAGGCTGGTACGAGCTGGCTGTTACTTTTCTCAGCTGGTTGCGGGATTCCAGGTAACATTCTTCATTCACGCTGTCGATCAGGGTCCCGCTCGCCTTAATTCGGCCACCAGGGTGGCGACTGGTCTCGTAGGGAAGTAGTGGTTCCCCCCCCAGGCCTTCCTTTGTTTTCTTGGAACCTCGCAGCCAGTCGTTGCATCTCTCGTGTGCTTCCTTCTTCCTCCCGCTTTGTTCCCCTGTTGCTCTGATGGCGCTCCTTTCCCTCCTCTGCTGTCTTATCCTCTCCTATCCTCTCTACGCTCTGGTGTTGCAAGAAGCGCATCCGCCGCCAGTTTGTTGTGCCCCCCCCCCACAAGGGTTCCAGCAGAACGCCGCGCCACGCCGATCTAAATCAGACCTCGCCCCAGGATGAGGAGCCTCGAGGAGGTCGAGGAGGAGGAGAAGAAGGAGGACGGATTGACACTCTAGACAGCAGCTCCAAGCTCTATGGATGAGGAGGAGGAGGAAGAGGAGGAAGGACAGGTGGGTCCATGAGGAGGAGGAGGAGGAGGAGGAGGAGGAGGAGGAGGAGGAGGAGGAGGAGACGGTTGAGGAGGCTGACGAGAACAGCGGGGGGGGGAAGAGGGTGGGCGAGCCAACACGCCCAGCAGGCGGAGATGAGGAAGGATGAGAGCACTGGGCGGGGACGGGCGCGGGGCGGGATAAGACGACTCGGAGAAATACATGCCCTTTTGGGCCCTCCTCCCCCCTCACTTCTCCTCATCACTCATCCACATCCCTCTCCCTCCCTCCCCCTCCCCCCTCCAACCGAGTACACCCAGAGCGAAGCCGTCGTCGAGCGAGAGCCTCCTCCCTCCTCCCTCCTCTCTCCTCCTCCCTCCTCCCACCTCTTCCATCCTCCTCCCTCCTCCCTCCTCCTGCTCCTCCTCCTCCTCCTCCTCCTCCTCATCCCCCCTCCTCCAGGGATCCAGGAGGAGGGACTCGGACGCTGAAATACGGATCGGGACCGCTTTGGGTTCGGAAGGGGCTCGCGGTTCCTTGGGTCGTTCCGTGGTGGTTTCTCTGGCACTCCTCGTGCACGCGGGCGCTTCTGGGGCCAAAATTCGGATTCGTTCCTTATTCGGCGTTCGTTCTTTCAACAACCCGACTGTAGGATCAGAGTTGGATCTTCCCACTCCCAGCGCGGGCGCGCTGCCATATGCCAGAGGCCAAGCAGGACCCGCCCGACTGGTTCCGCGAGCTGTGTGGCTCGGCCCTCAACAGGGTGGGCAAGGCTCGCCGCTTTCAGAGGAGGAGCGGGCAAGACGGAGGCAAGGTGGAGTTGGAACTGCGACGAGAAAGGGCCGAGTGCGATCGAGAGAGGGTTGCATGGGTGATGGAGGGATGCTCGAAATTGTCAAGAGGGTGCAGGATGCGGTGGCCTCCCTTGTTCCATCCTCCTGTGTCTCATTCCGTCTTCCTGCTCCTTTCCCACCCTGTCCCTCCTTCAGCTTCCTCTTCTTCCTGGCCAGGCACGGGTTGCCAGAGACGGCCGAGGGGTGGACGGAAGAGGAGCGGGAAACGAGGTTGGAGGAGGATGGGGCGGAGGAGGTGAAGGAGGAGGGGATGTGATACGCATTATGTGTGCACGGTCCTTCGAGGCAATGCAGCTCACACGCGTCTGGGTATTTCCGCTCGCTCTGCGCGCAGATGCTGCAGCAGGCCGAGCTTGGTGATTGAGGTGCTTGAACTCGTCGATGCTACGTGTCAGGAGGTGGATGATGAGAGGGGATGGGGGTTGACCAGTGGGGTGGAGAAGCATGAAGTGACGAACATGATGATGCTGATGATGATGCTGCTGATGATGATGATTATGATGATGCTGATTATGATGATGCTGATAATGTTGATGCTAATGATGATGCTGCTGGTGCTGCTGATGATGAGAGTGGTGATGGTGATGATGATGTTGATGATGTTGCTGATGCTGATGCTAAGGATGACGATGATGATGACGATGCTGTCGATGATGACGATGACGATGACGATTATGATGATGCTGATGATGACGATGACGACGATGATGCTGATAATGCTGATGATGGTGATGATGGCGATGCTGCTGCTGATGATGATGAGGATGATGACGGCGATGATGATGATGATGATGATGATGATGATGATGATGATGAGGAGGATGAGGATGAGGATGAGGATGATAATGATAATGATAATGATTCTGGTGTTGATGATGATGATGATGATGCTGCTGGTGCTGCTGATGATGATGATGATGATGATGATGATGATGATGATGATGATGACGATGATGATGATGATGATGATGATGATGATGATGATGATGGTGGTGGTGGTGGTGGCGGTGGTGGTGATCCTCCCTCTCCCTCCTCCCTCTCTCCTCCCCTTCTCCACCCCCGCGTCCTCTTTCTCTCCTCGTCCGCCCGCTTCTCCCTTCCTCCCTCCCTCCCTCCCTCCTCCCGCCCGCCCTCCCTCCCTCGTCCCTCCTGTGTCCCTCCCCCCAGTTCGGCGGCCGATGCCTTGCCATCCCGTCGACCTCGGCGGCCTGGGCGGGGGCGGACCGGCGGCCCCTCAACGCCAGAAGCTCGCTGGGGGCTCCAGGGCCTGCGGCCGCGGTCCTCGGCGGCTGCCGAAGGGGCGCATAGCTCCTGGGGGGGTCGCACTGCACGGGGGCGCCGGCCGGAAGTTCGACCGATTGGGATCACGCAGGGGATGCCGTGGTAGGCTTAAGTCGGGGCTGTCCGTCAACAGGAGGAGTATCCAAAAATAGTCAGAAACTAGTCTGGGGACGAGTTGTTTTTAGTATTTTTGAATATTTGTTGAATACTTGCTGCGTATCTTTTTTGTTTTTCGTCCAAGATCCGTCTGCAGGGGGACATGCCCGACCTGATGGTAGGCGTTGTGGGAGAGCGCGCCGATTCTGGCCAGGTCTGGGACCCCGGCAGGGGCCCCAGACCCTCGTGGCCCCCCCTCTCGCCCCTCCCGGCAGCGCCGACGGAGAATCCGTGTCCGCGCGCGTGTGCCAATGTGCTTCCGTCGCCCCTGCCTTCGGCGAGGCTCGTGGGCGAACGCGTCCAATGCCCGCCTCTGGGCTATGCACCCCTGTTGTCCCCGTCGAGGTCAGGCCAGAGAGGTTGCGCGCGAAGACGGGGGCAAGAGCTAGGTCGTGTGATCTGTTCCCGACGTCGTTTTTCTCCATCGCGTCGGGCTTCAGGGGGGGAGGACACTACGCAGGGTATGCATGTACCGTCTCGGGGCGGTGGAAGCGCGGGAGCGGGCATTCAGGATTGATCCCCCCCGGCAGTGGATATCTTTCACGATTGGGCAGTTCACGCAGTGGCCAGAGCCCACGCCATCATGACAGGAGCCTGCCCAAAGAGGAGCAGGAGTCAAGGTGACTGCGTATCCGCCTCGTGGCGCGGCCTCTGCCGCGACCCTGGCGTCTTCCGTCGCGGTACAGCTCCCTACTGCCTTTGCCGTGGTTCGTCGTCCGTTCGTCGTTCGCTCATCCTCATGCTCCTTCCGTCCCTGATGGATACCTCCTCCCTGGCGCACCCCCAGACGTGTCGGTAGGCCGGCCCGGGCGTTTCGCTCGAGACTTCCTCGACCATTCATTATCCTCGAGACTTCCTCGACCATTCATCATCCTGCAGCTTGAACTTTGTAGCAGTTTCAAGGATGGAGGGCGTGTGGTTTTCAAAATGTTACCCTCGCCGTAGCGCCGCGCACCTTCGTTCCAAAAGTTTGCCACACTTCCGAGATTAGAGGGCGGGCGGTTTCCAAAATGTGGCTCTCGCCATAGCGTTGCGCACATCCGTTGTTCAGCAACAGTTCCATGTATGGAGGGCGGCCCGTTTTCAAACTGTGGCTCACGTCTTGGCGCCGGGAGCATTCGGTTAAAAGTTTGCAGCGGCTTCAAGGATGGAGGGCGGTTCTAACAATCACGTTGATCCGAGGTGTCGAAGTCCCAGGAATGGTGTTCTGGCACGATATAGGGTTGTACAGTCTTGTTGGTTCGTGGTGTTGAAGTCCCAGGACCGGTGTTCTTGCACGATGGATCATTTTCAGACGGTTGTCTCCCAATAGGACACTTCCCGCAACGAAGCACCATCTTGTAGGGGTCTCTGAGGACGGAACTTGAAAGGAGGGATTACTGCAACATGTTGTTGCGTCTTGGGTTTGCACTGGTCCTCTCGGTCTAGTGGATCGTCGCCGTTGTTGGGTATATCGTGAGGTTGGAAGACCTGGGTGTGGCGATGGGGGCCAGACCAGGGCTCGGCCGTGCCGTTGATCTGGGTGACCCGTTGCTCGATCGGGGTCGGTGGCAGTTGTTCAGGCCCTCGATCAGCAGGGTACTCTGCGCTTTCGGGTCGATCGGGCCAGTCGGATCGAGATTAGGGCCAGAATCAGGCCGTGAATCAGCGCGGACCGTTTTGTGTTCATCTGCAGGTGTCCCTCGGTAATTTTCCATCACGTGCACGGAGTTCGTGTGGTGATAAGGGGGTGTTCCCTACTCTCGTCTCTGGTTATTTCTCTTGCTCTTCTTCCCTCTGTCCGTATTCATCTTGGCCCATGATTGGGCAATCCCGGCATAGGCTTGGCTCACCAAGGTTGGGTTTCAGCGCGGGGACCTGCGATCATGGTTCTGGGATTGCCGACATTCATTCTGTCACTTTTCTGGTGCGCTGCTGGGATGTCAAATCAGACAGCGAAGAAAGACCGCATGAATTTGGTCTTCATGTTTCCAGACACGCTTCGAGCTGAGTCGTTCTCGTCATACGGCCACCCTCTCCAGACCACACCCAACCTGGATAAGTTTGCAAAGTCTGCCGTGCGCTTCGAGCAGGCACATGCTTTGCATACACAGTGCACGCCCTCTCGGGTAACCATGCTGACTGGCCGGTACATGCATGTGCTGGGCCACCGCACACAGACACATTTGATTCAGCCGTACGAGTTCAATTACTTCCAGATCCTGAAGGACAATGGATACCACATTAAATACATCGGGAAGAACGATGCTTTCTCTAGAGATTCGAGTGGCTTGCGCCATTCCGCTGACCCCCAGTGGAGTAGAGACGGCCAGGGCGTTCTGTAGGCTATGTTGAAGCTGGAGTGGCTGGGTGTTTTTTCATGCCCGCGAGGGTGGAGGAGAAGAAGGAGGATGATGAATAGGAGGGGGGGAGGAGGAAAAGGAGGAGGAGGAGGAGGCGCAAAGGTGGGAAGGAGGGCGGACGGAGGAAGGAAAAAATCCTTCACGCTTTGCGTATCCCCACCAGAGACATCCCCCTGGATCCCCCCTGCTTCGCTGGCGGTGCTCACCACGCCTGCTCGGCCTTCTCCTCTAGCCCACCTGGCCTGGCGCTGTGCCGTTGTCCACGGGGCCGGCTCGCGGTCGTCCGGGCCTACCACTTGCACTGTCTGGTGGTTCTTTGGGTGCTGTGATCGCAACGGAGTGGTTCAGCCTTTCGCAGCAGCGGCAGCACCCCGGACTCAACCCCCCGCTCCCGGCAGGTCGCGTCGTTCCACGTTCCTCGGCAGCTCAGCCCCCCTGCTTTAAGGGTAGCTCTTTGGGATATGTTATATAGAATCGGGAGTATAGCTCGCGCGCCGTTGCCTTTGGCTCAAGGCACGCGCGCCCTATTTGCCCGGACACTGCTTGTGTTCGCTATGTGCTGGAAAGATCATTACATCGATCTTATCATATTTTATCCGTCCATTCCTCTTACTGAACAACCTCATTACGATACCGGACGCTATTTGCCATCCGCTTCCCATGGAATCGGATGCTATTTGACTTACCATAGTCACTTCAGACTTGGTAGCGGAGCTGGCCGCACTCTCGTGTGGTCAGCTCTTGCTCTTCTTATCCTCACGCTATACGGCACGATCTTCTTGACCAACTACCACCCTGCGCCACCACTCCCAGTACATTTACGAGGATCAATGCAAGAGCAAGAAGCAACACGAGAGGTACGACGTCTAGACAACAACCTTGGTACCATATATGCTTCATCGCTGCGCTACTACCAACCGCTCGGCAACGAGCCAACAGCGCAGTGCTTGAAGCAGAGGCGGGGAGACCCGCAAGATAAAGCGCCTCGAAGACTTGACAAGGTGCTACCCCAGCGCGGCAACGCGCCTAATAACCACCCCGATCTTCACAGCCTTGGGCTGGTTGTATTCGCCATCATATGGTTCGCGCTGGGGGCAGCAATCGGACACATGCGCCGTGGAGAGAACAGCACCGATGGGCAAACACATGGCCCATACTGGGACCCTCAAGGCAACGTACCTTTCCGCGAGTACGTTTATGAGGTCAACACGTGGCTCAACGTCACAAGTGGACGTATGACGCCACAGGCCCAAGCGGCCGCCATACAACGCGGCCTGGGTGGCCTAGCGAGGACACTCGCCATGAGGGTACCCCCTGACATTATAAACTACGGTGCGGACATCGATGGTGTCCACACCGACCCAGTAACCTACATCATGTCCCTCCTAAGCATGAAGTTCGAGCGCCTGGAAGATGAGCGCCAGCTCACTTCAGGCACACAGCTCATCGACTTTCATGTGCCTCACGGAGAACGAATCGATGTCACCCTCACTCGGTTCGAGATGGCCCGTCTTGAGGCACAGTCGGTGGGGCTTGACCGCCCCAACTTCCAACTGCCCACTACTATCCTATTCCGCGCCCTAGGCGTTGGCAACCAGCGGGCCATGCAACTCTTACAGCCACTCAACCACCAAATGCCCCGAACACAACAACAGTATGATGAGTTGCTGGAGAGGATGCGTTCGATAGGCCATCTGTCAGAACGGTCTCCTGGTAACATAGGATCAGTGTTTGGAAGGGGAAGGGGATCTGGCAGTGGAAATGTCTACACTTAACCACCGAAGCCCAGCCTGGAAACGGGCCCTCAAGCACATGGGCCGACGATCCTGGAGAGTCTACTGCCCTACTAGCAGGGGATCGATCACAACCAAGCTGGGCAACCAGCCCTCCTCCTAGATAACCTCAACCACACCGCTCTTTATGGGGTGAAGCAAACCCCCTAACCGACGGTGTATCCACCTACCTGGGAGACGACGATTTCGACTCTGGCACCGACACCGATATTATATCAGCAGACGGTGTTGAACCTTTAGATTGGTCAGATATCATGAACATGGAAAGTGACAATCAGCGTGCCGAACACCTGTTCTGGTTATTACAACAGTCAAAGCGGAGGTGGAGGAGGTGCACACGAAAACCAGTGCGTCGTGTTAGGAGGAGGATACGGAGGAGCTTCAAAGGAAAAGGTAAAGGCAAACGGGGTCGTCGTAGGTTGAATGGACGAGGCATCACGGCCTTCCTCCAGAGGCTCTCAGATGACCAGTATGATGAGATATTTTTCGGGAGAAAAGGCCGTGGTAAAGGCCGTAGAGATACCTCAGGCAAAGGCAAAGGTAGGCGGGGAAACCCGCGAGGTAGAGACGGCCAGATCCTAAAGTGCCATGAGTGTGATAGTACCGATCATCTTGTGAAATATTGTCCAGCGAAGGGAAATGGAAAGGGCAGATCAACCGAAGTCCATTTCTGCTCAAGTGAACCAGTTCTCGAGTATCTGAGCCTCCAAGAATTTGAGGCCATGGGGCAGATATTTTTCACTTGGGTCAGCCGCATGGACAATTTGGATGAGATCGAGGCGTACGGCCACGGATTGTACGCGTACTACCTCGAGTACCTCCGCAGGTTCGTTGTCGGCAACTTCGAGCTGACGCCTGTGGAACATGGAACGCTGGGAAACCAGCCTTTATCCTTCTTTGACTGGATGTTCGGTAATCCAGGCAACATCATGGCCCACGAGAGCAGTGAAGAAGATGATACTGTTCAAGCCTCGCCTTCGGAGGTTGATCGCAACCTTCAACCTCGACCCGACCTCATGCCTGGAAACAGGCCTACCCCTACATATCCTCCAAACTACGCTGATCTGATGGAGATGGAGTCTCATGCGTTCGTGATGGGCGTGCCAGGGGACCCGTTTATACCCCCTGGCTCGCTTGCCCCAGGCGAGTACGGACCACGCACGCTATTGCATACCCTCATGAAGATGCACGCTGTATTGGTCATGGCATATCCCGAGAGTCAAGAGAGCATCGAAGCTGGCCAAATGATGCTACAAGACACTGATGCCTGTGACGACTCGGAGTCAGTGCTGGCGGCCCTTACTCTCATCGATAGCGTGCACCCAGAGGACGTGCAGCGGCATGTGTGGTACTCCAGAGGGAGATGGCGCCAGGCCCTTGAAAGGGCCATCGCCATGCGCGGTCAGGCTCTTCCTGCGCCAGGATGGGGTCTCCAGGCGGCGGGATTGTGGCCCAACCATGCGGCCATGCGCAACATTGCCGGGCTGCCGGTGGTCGGCAACGAGCCTGAGCCGACAACCGTACCGCCTGCGCCGGGACAGCCAAGCGATGCTCAGACGCTGGCAACGCAGGGAAACCTGCCCGTCCCGGCTGGACCGATGACCGTCGTCATTGGTAATCCTATATCAGAAGATGAAGAGGGCGATGGATGTGGGCTGTGCGAGGACGAGACCACAATCCTCATGATGGAGGTCAATGGTGAAGAAGAGGTGGATTTCAGTCCCGACATGCCCGACACACCACCACCGGCGCAAGAGCCAATTGCGCCGGGCTCCAGTCAGCAGGGAGACCTGCCCACTCTGGATGCGCCGCCTGGGATCTCGCAGGAGCCCCCGCCGGCTCCCGCTTAGGCTGCGTCAGCGGCTTCATATGATGAACATGCCAGGAGGTCTCGCTCTCACCCACACCTCAGGGAAGAACCTCATCCGCAAGCACGGCTCCCTCGCGAACGGAGGCAAGCAGGCCCAAAGGAGCATGCTGCTCGGCGGGGGGGTCAATTGCTTCCCTACAGTGATCCTAGGCGTCGGAAGGGTGAACATTCTGCTTTCGGAAAAGGCAACCCAGCCTACAGAGATGCCCAAGGCAAGTCCATACGAGGTGGCTACCAACTCGCGACGAATATTCGCAGTGCTGAAATAGAAGAAGTACGGACGCAACTGCGAAATATCATTGCAGCACGCAAACTGTACAGACCGAGCGCAGTTTGTGGACCGTGCTCAGAGCCATTTCAGGAGCATAGGCCTGGGTGCCCTGTGGGGCTCAACGAGAGTTTGAGCCCGAATAGAGGCCGCACTCCTGCCAAGGAGGGTCATCCACCGTTGATTCCGATGACTCAAGACGAGATCGCAGAGATCAACCGTCGTCTCGGAATCACAGTTCATATGAGGCCTAAGGCCGAGGAGGTTCAGCCTCCGAGAGGACTGGTGCCCATGACCCAGGAAGAAAAAGATGCGCTCTTTCGTCTTCCTGGAATGCGAGGAAACTCGCCCGGCGTTTCCAGTCAGTCCCAACGGCCAGAAATGATGGATGACGACGAACAGAGGGCCCAGCGAGCTGCGGCAGATGAGGAACGCAGACGACTAGCAGAGGAACGCACCCGCGAGGCAACTCGCCAGATGCTGCTGGAGTCCCAAAAGATCTATATGAAGGGGGCGAAGAAGCCCCCACTCCCACTCCAACCGAAGGCTAAGAGCGAACCACCAGCACCTAGGACGCCTTCGGGGGAGAGACCGAAAACAACAGCCCGCTCTGAGGATCTTGGGTCAGATGCGCAGATGGAGGTGCCTCGTTCTAAAGCGCCGAGATCACCGACTAGAGCAACTCCGGCACAGGAACCTGGCCCCAGGCAGCAACCTCAGGACCCCGTGGAGGTGCGGAGGCGCCCACCTAGCCGTGGCGGATCTATCGCCGGCAAGGCCAAAGCCTTCGAGCGTGCAGGGTTTACCCCTACGCCGGCCGCACCTGTGGCGGCACGCTCCAAGAGGTCCGAGGAAGGTGCTCTGTCTAGGGGTACCTGGGTGCCTAGGATTAGGGGCAGCGCCAGCCGAGAGTCACCGCGGGGAAACCCGCCAGGCGCTGCAGCTGCAGCTTCTTCCTCTTCAGGAGCCGCAGCCTCTTCGGTGA